TCAACTAGGCTGGCCGACCAATGAGCTTCAGGGATTGTCCTGTTTGTGGGACAATCACTGGCATTACAGACACAGACATGATTGAAACTCAGGCCCTCATGCTTTCATCACAGGCCCTCTACATGCTGAGCTATCCCTCTAGCCCCCTGTAGTTGATCTTTATTTTCATTTATTTTTTGCTGATTTCATACATATAATCAACATATTTTGATCTGATTCATCCCCCATTACTCCTTCTGGTCTCCCTTCTCCTGCTGAACTCCTTATTCTACTGCTCCCCCTCCTACCTTCATGTCTCGTGTGCATGTGTGTGTGTGTGTGTGTGTGTGTGTGTGTGTGAGAGAGAGAGAGAGAGAGAGAGCCACTGAGTTAAATTAGGGTTATTTGCATGAACACAGATGGAGGACTATTTACTGCAGTCCAGGCAACTTACCAGTGGCTACACCACTGGGGTAAATGGTTCTTCTTCCTTCCATCCTCTGACAATGCATTTGTGCTAGACCTTTTTGAAATAATTTTATATGTTGCTTCTCATCTTAAACAGCAATAGAGTGCCATGTTGTAAGTTGACTCGCTTATCTGTCCCACAGGAAGCTGTCATGCTCAGTTAAAGTCACCCTTGCTCATGCTTTTATGCCTTTCCTGTGTATTGACATAACAACAACCTGTAGCAGTGGTCGGTATATTTGTAAAGTGTGTACTAATGATTACTGTGGACAAGGTTTCACTCTTCTAATGCTCACTAAATTCCCTCATTATTTTATTCTATGTATTTCCACTTCAGTACATTTAGCACTTAACAACTAAAGCAGTTGTTCTTCAATATCATATTATTCTTTGAATGTTAATTTGGAAGAAATTGACATCCACATAATATTAAGTCATAAATATAGACGTGGTGTGTCTCTATATTTCTTTGTATCTTTCAATAGAATTATAGCAGCATTAAAATTATGCACTTCTTTTAAAATAGTGTTATTGTTGTCAGTGCCACTTTTCAAATTTTTTAAAATATTTTATTTTTATGTTATTTTATGTATATAAGTAGATTGCCTACATGTATGTAAATGCATCTGTGTCATGCAATGCTCATGGAGGTCAGAAGAGGGCATCGGATCCCCTAGAACTGGAGTTATGGACTGTTGTTAGCTGCCGTTTTGGTGCTGGGAACTGATGCTGGGTCCTCTGCAAGAGCAGCCAGGGCCCTTGACCACTGAGCCCCAGCGTCACTTTTTAAAACATGTCAGTGCTGTAAATCAATGTTACTTTTTGTGTATTGAATTTATATCCAGCAACTTTGCTGAGTACTCCTACAAATTTCAATGGTTTGTCACTGAAGTCCCTGAATTTTCTATGTACACAATTGTGCTGTGTGTAGATAATTACACATCTTATTGTTTAGTTCACTGAACTAGCTAAGAACTTTAGCAACCTGTCCTACAAGCACTAGAAAGAAATATCTTTGTCAGGTTTCTTATTTTGAATGTAACATTCTTCCTTTTACGATTGAGATGCTTTATTTGCTGCATGTTTTGTTGTAGATAGTCTTCATTGGGTTAAAGAAGTTCTTAACAGCTTGTTTAGCAAGCTTAGGAAAACAACTATTGAGGGACTGGACAGATGGCTCAGTGGTGAAGAGCACTGGCTGCTCTTGCAGAGGACCTGGGGTCGGTTCCCAACACCCACATGGTGACTCACAACTGTCTGTAACTCCAGTTCTCGGGGCTCCATCAGGAGGCCATTGTACACATGTGGTACTCTTACGTATGAGAGGCAGCACACTCATACACATAAAAAAATTTATTGATTAAAAGAAATCATCTTATTTTTTTTATTGTTAGCCTGAGCCTTTAATGGCCGAGCTATCCCTCCAGCCCAAGCCGGGTGTGGTGGCATGCACCTTTAATCCCAGCACTTGGGAGGCAGAGGCAGGCAGATCTCTGTGAGTTCAAGGCCAGCCTGGTCTACATAGTGAGTTCCAGGCCAGCTGGGGCTACTGGGGGACCCTGTCTCAAAAAAGGCCAAAAAAAAAAAGAAAGAAAGAAAGAAAGAAAGAAAGAAAGAAAGAAAGAAAGAAATCATCTTGCCAGGTATGGTGGCACACACCTTTAAATCCCAGCACTCAGGAGGCAGAGACAGGCAGATCTCTGTGAGACTGAGGCCAGCCCGGCTGACATAGAGAGTCCTCAGCCAGCTGTGGGTGGCTACAGGGAGAACTGTCGAGAGGGGGGAGGGGGAGGAGGATGAAAGGGAGGAAGAAAAAGAGAAAAAAGAAAATGACTGTTGAATCATATGATTTATTGTACTGTTAAAATCCGTGTTTCCCCCCATTAATGGTTATATTTGCTAATATTTCTGTATTTTAATATTTATAGTCTAAACTCAGAAGAATTATAACTTCATTTTTTTCAGCCACATTGAGAATTAAAATTTCTGCCAACTCAAAAAATATGCCAGGGTCTCTCTCTCACCTCTCTCTCTCTCTCTCTCTCTCTCTCTCTCTCTCTCTCCTCCCACTCCTCCTCTGACCCCTTTCCCTCTGGAACATCCTGTCTTTTACTTAGAGCATATTATAAAGTCAGGCAGTCTTCTGTTAGAACTGCTCGATCTGTATCATTTTCTAAAGACATTAAAAAGTGTATCAGTGTTCCACCTTAAGTCTAGAATCTGCCTGGCTTCCGCTGCCCTCCTGCACACAGTCTGCAGTAAGAGCAGTGAAGGCAGCAGGTGGCAGCAGTTCCCACTCAAAAAGCAGGTCAGAGCAGCCAGGGAACAGCCAGGCCTCCTTTGCAGCCTGGTTTCTCCATAAAGTTCTCTTCGCCCTGCAGCTGCTCATTTCGTATATGAAAAGAAAGGTGATATACTGACAAATCCCACAAACTGCAAGAAAATAAAAAGCACTCTTCGTGTCCTCGTTATACAATGAACCACAATCATGAAAGCTGGGATTCAATCTTGGAAACGGCCCCCTTTATTTAAACCCTCCAGTGCCTGCGTGCTTTCCAGAATGGCCGCCTATTGTATCGTCATGCATTCTTTTGAGTCTCGTTCAAGGCTTTCCTTTCTATGAATGTTTGCCCTACGTACAGACTTTGGCTATCTTTTATTACATAACATTAGATATTAATAAACAGTGCTTATAACGCTAACAACCATATATTGAATATACACTGTTACAGTCCCTCTTCCAGAAGATTTACACATTGTATTTCATTTAATCTGCATAATAACTTCGGAAATTAAGATCTAGTGCTATTCCCCAATTTATAGATATAGAAATTGAAGCACGGATCAATTAACTTGGCTAAGGTCATACCTTAGATAACAAATAGAACTGGCCAGAAGAACACAAGGCTATTTCTTTACCTTGAGTCCTTTGTTGTTCATTATTATTGGTAGTACAGGGGACAGTACTAATCAGGTACACTAATCCCTACTGAGAATGGACAGTTTTTCTTTATTTTTATGTTTATGAGTGTTTGCCTGAATGTATGTGAGCCACATGGATGTAATGCCCACAGAGGCCAGAAGAGGGTGTCAGATCCCCTGGAATACACATGGTTATTAGCCATCATGAGGGTGCTGGGAACAGAACCAAGGTCCTCTCTGCAAGAGCAGCCACTGCTCTTAACCATTCAGCCTTCTCTTCAGCCACTGATAATAGAGATTTTAATTCCACTAGAATATAGGCTACTTGAGACACTTAAAGTGAATTATCTAACTGGACATGGTGGAACACACCTTTAATCCCAGAACTGGAGAGGCTGAGACAAAAGTTTCACAAGTTTGAGACAAGCCTGGGCTACCTAGTGAGACTGTCTCAAGACAAATAAATAAATGATTAAACAAATAAAAATTTAAATGTATATCTTTCAAAACTCCTTGTAAGAAGTGTATCAACAGATAAAAAAGTCAAGAACCCTACATGGAAAAGATTTTGGATGGAACACACCAAGAAGATAAAATTCAAGGTCTTTGCTTGTTATCTGTGGAGACTAGGAAAACTAGATCATGTTGCAGAGATTGGCTTTGACCTTGTATGTTAAATGATGATAATAATTGAATGTCACTACAAAAATTAGAGGAGAGGGGCTGTAGAGATGACTCAGCAGTTAAGAGCACTGGCTGCTCTTACAAAAGGACCTGGGTTTGATTCCCAGCACCCACATGGCAGCTAACAACTATCTGTAACTCCAGTTCCACAGGATCTGCACCTGCTTTTGACCTCCACAGGCATTGTACAACATGGGTGCACTTAACATACATCCAGGCAATACACACTGACACATAAAATAAAAATATAAATAAAAATTTTAATTAAAAAAATTAAATGAGATAACACAGCAGATTTCCTGAGAAATGATCAGTACATTTTCGGTCCTTGTTAGCTCATGTCTGCCTCCCTCACTAAATTGTAACAATAAGAAAATTTCCCTTGGGTCAATTGAGCCTGAAAAACTGAAGAAGTAAATAAAGGGAAGTTACTGGCTATCGATATTATCATTATTATCACTATTATTATTAGAGACAGCATCTCACTATGGAACCCTGGCTGCCTGGAACTCACTATGAAGACCAGGCTGGCTTCAAACTCAAGAGATCTGCCTGTCTCTGCCTCCCAAGTGTTGGGAATTAAAGGTTTACACCACATGCAGACCTGGGTATCTCCCTCATGAGAATCTCATGTGATGACTGCATAAAAACTTCTGTTGTTAAATTCACTGAGCAAATAAATTCCCCAAATCACAAAGTCAGAAGATATTTTATATATATAAACCTAGAATCTATCCAAGTATTCAACAAGCATTTTAGGGGACCTGAGGTTGAGATAACATTGATGTTCCCAGAAAATGTATGTCAGTAAGATTAATTGGAGCCCCTTATTAATTTCTTTTATTAAAAGATATTCTATTTTAATACATGACACTATTTCCACTTCTCTGATATATTTATTATTATGTTTGTTTAATAACTTATCAAATCAACTGATTCTCTTCCAGACCTAAAACAGAAGATGCCTGGGTATTTGCAAAGTCCAATGCCATACAAGCTATTGGAGTTATGTCCTTTGGTAAGTACCTGGGTTAAAGCCCTTTCTCAAAACAGCATCATCTGTTCCATAATAAGATGCTGTTTCATGGTTATGTCTGACAGTAGATCTCATAGGTTTAGACTTCCCATTAACAGCCTATGATCTAGTTTGTGCTAATATAAAATTAGGTTCAAACTTTTCTCATTCATTACTAAAATTTGCTTCTAATTGGAGAAATCTGTTTTTCATGCAGGAAATTCATTACAGTTATTGTGTTTCTTAATTTAGAAGTCTAGCAAATATTATGGACTTCTTAAAAATCTTGTGCAGAAAGGATTAAGATTTGACTGGAAAGAATGAGGGAGGTGGGCAAGAAGTCCCAGCCCTAGCTTGGAATCTGTTGGCAATTGTTAACTGCTGGGAAAGGGAGAGTCATTTTTCTTTACTGGTGTGACAGCTGGTAAGTTGACCAGACTCCAAGGGATAGACCCACACCCATGAGCATTTGGAAAACACAGATTAGACTACATAGACCTTAAAAAAAAAAAAAAAAAAAAAGACAAACAATAGTAGAAAAAATGAAGCCTGGCCTGGGGTAGTAAGGTAGGGGTGAAAATGGGGGAGGTGTCTGAATGTGAGCAGAATACACTGTATGGAATCTTCAAATCAATAAAAATATATTATAAAAAGATTTGGCTGAATATCTAAAGCTACTCAATGCCCAGGATGGCAAAAATAAAGTCATGTACAGATAATAACGGGTTTTTTTCAGATTTTCCTTAAGATAGGAAGAGCCGTTTAAGGAGAGGACAAATGGGAGAGAAGCTTGGATAGGCTGGTTTGTGTCAAAAGTCACATGAAGATACTATGTAAGCATGCTGTGAACTTTCTCATTTGTAGGCATATTTAAAACCTTACTTCCTGGTGTATTTAGTATTATAAATGAATATATTTGAATTTTGGATAATTGAAATTCTAAAATGGCATGCATCTCTGTTTTCCAAACGGAAACACAACCCTACTGCTTGTTTAGTAATGCATTTTTCTTTTGTATTACAGCCTTCATTTGCCACCATAACTGCTTCTTAGTTTATGGTTCTCTGGAAGAGCCCACAGTAGCTAAATGGTCCCACATCATCCACATCTCCATCTTGGTTTCTGTGTTTATCTCTGTGCTGTTTGCTGCGTGTGGATACTTGACTTTTACTGGCTTTACTCAAGGTAAAATAAAAAATTCATCCACATCCTGTCTTGGTGTGCATGTGGACTGATTCCAGTATACCAATGTTCTGCTCACTTTGGGTACCATTCTTCCAGGGTTCTGTTCCAAACCATCACCCCTCCACCTTCTGCTCTACTCTTCTGACTCTCTGTGCTGTCTCTTAATTTTTCTGCTCTGAATCCATGGACCTTCATTCTGTGATCCTGTACTCTGTTCCTCTGGGTGTTTTTTCCCAAACATGAACTCCAGCTCCCCTCCCCACTGCTTCACACACTGCATCTTTGCTTTCACAAGGTACCAATGGCCTCCCAGTGTCAGAGTTGATACCCTTTCTGCTTCTGGTCCTCCTGGATATTTCTGAGTCACTTAACCACTGAGCATCTTCTCTTGGCTCCAATTTTCTTCTCATTGAGGAAATGGTACTGTTGTACTGTCACTGTTATTCTTTGTCTTTGTGTTAATATTTTGTTTCTTTCTCTATGTTGTGTTTTTCTTTCTTTTCTTTCGCCTCTCTGATCTCCCACCCACCTGGAGGTTGGGGTGCTGTTTTTCTGTAGATGGAGTCTCTGATTGCTTTCACCACTTTCTTCCTATTACAGGACTTGCTTTTCATCTCCACCTGTAGGACATTTCTGCTTGACTGTACCATTCTAAACTAAATGACAAACATCATCTTTCCTATTAAAACAGTCCTTTTCTGACCTGTCTCCAAAGTGACTTCTCTTGTATCACTCAGGCCCAGCAAATGAGTGGTCTTCTCTTGACTTCCTTTGACCTGTTCTTTCATCCAGTCATCCATTGTGTAGTATTAACGACAGTGTGACAGCAGGCTGAATGCTGTGATTCATATATTCCACAGCCTTTGCAGGGCTAGTATCTCACTTGACCTTCCAATAACCCTTTGAAGGTAAGTGGAATAACGAGTTCTGCCTGTTGCTTACGACACAAAGAGGTGAAGCAACTTGCCCAAGCTGGCTGGTAATAAACCAGAAAATAAGTCTTTTGATGCTCAAGTTCAGTTTGCTTTCCATTCTTTTGTGATTTCCCCCATTTGGATCAGCCAAGACCCTAAAGGTTGTCTCTCAGCCTCTAGCAGCTCTTGGTTCAGTTTTCTGTGACACTGAGGTACTCTTTGGAAAGGGGATGCCTTGATTTGAGTAGAAGTTATAGGTCACTGTGATTGTATGCTGATATTTCTCAGAAAATAAAGATTAAAAAACAAAAATTAATGATTAACATGATACCAATGCAGTAAAAAATATAACTGACTTGCTCCAGGAGAGTATAGTTAGAAGTGACCTTCAAAGTCCTCATAAGACTGTTTCAAAACACTGACATGCAATACAGTTGCTACAGTGTGCCAAGACGAATGGCCTAAGGGTTTTGGACAGCATAGGACCTTGGTTTGTAAATGCCTCTTCTGCAAAGCATAGATTTTTTTTTTTAACTAGTCACACCTTCCTAGTGGTTTTAGCAGTAGTAATTGCACTGATGTAATTAAATCTTTATAACAGTTCTATGTGGTGGCCTGGGTCTGTAATCCCAATGTGTGGGAGACTGAGGCAGGAAGATAGGAACATGCAATATATAGCAAAATTCTGTCTCGATGAGAGAGAGAGAGAGAGAGAGAGAGAGAGAGAGAGAAACGCTTCAAGCCTAATATGACCACATGGGCCTGTGCCTCTGCTAGAAGATGGAACATTGGAGACAGGAGGCTCACTGGGGCAGCCAGCTCCAGTGAGAGCCCCCGCCTGGAAAGGAATGAGGCCAAGAGTTAGAACAGGACATCTGACATTCTCCTCTGGCATCTACAAGTGCACACACAGACACAAGCACCCATGCATGCACACACCCCTCCCCCACACACACACACTTCTTTATGTAACCAAGCAGACAAATATTGGATGTAGTTGTTGTTGCCCTTGTTTTACCCCCCTTAGCTATAATTCTCTAAAATACACTTATGTTCAGGCTGGAATAAACTGCCACTGCTTCTTTAGGTCATTTCTCTTGAGGTAGAGCTGTCTTGTTTGTGCTTCTACTCTCCCTTTTTCAGTGGGTAAATCCGTTTGTGAGGCAGTGAGAACTCCCTAGTCTTGTTGACATTCCTGGTGACTGTTGAAGAGATGCAGGCCCTGGTAATTAGTGGAGGTTAGCAAGGAGAACACTGGTTCTTGTTTATCTAGCAGTGCTGGACCCTACGCAATTTCAAAGCAGTTCTCTAATGATGTTTAATGTCCCCAAAACGGACACCAAAAAATATCAGACATCCATCTGATATAGTTGGTGGAGAGAAGGGAAATTGTCACTTAAGTATGTCTTGGAAAGAGGAAGCTCATGAAGGGTACTAGTTCTTCATGAAGAACCAGCTCTTCAATGAAAATCAGTTCAGAGGTATTGTTTTCTTCTTCTGAAATAGTGTAATACGTGGCTTTGATCTAATTTCATTTAGTTTAATTGAAAAAAGGCAACTGCAGTGTCCTCATTTAAGCACATTATGCTCAGGAAGTGAACAGGCCCAAACACTGTTTTCAGTAAGTGTGTGCTGATGTCTTCGGTGACCTGGTTAGGACCCTGCATTTCTTCATGGATTTCTGAAACTAGACAGGCTTTGAATAAGAATTGGCTTGAGATATATATGGTCTATTGTTTCATTTAGAGCTAATTAAATTTAACATTCTTTCCTGGAATCAACCCTTCCTATTTTCATTTTGAACCATTAAAACATGCATTTAAATTTGGATACATCAGATGACACGAAAGACAATGTATCTTTGGAATTCCTTGGTGTGGTCCTGAGCTTATGATCAGCCCCTATAGTGTGAGGTGCAGGAAGCCCAGCTCCCAGCATGTCCTGGTCTACTCTTCCTCTCAGGATTGTCCTTGACCTAAGAATAGCATTTCAAAGAGAAATTTGTTTATTCTAACAGACTTTTAAAAAAATAACACAATCACTTGGCAGAAACAAAGACCAGAAGCAATTTACAAAGGCGATGCATAAGAGGGAGCTGATTCTGATGCTAAGAAAAAAAAAAAGTACTTTTTAAAGTTGGCACAAATTTAAAAATTTAAAGCAAGCCTACCAAAAACCAAATAAGAAAAATTATTAGTGGTGCATTTACCTTCAAATGGAGCATGTACTGGTTTTAATATCAGTCAATAATTATACCGTTACTAAATACAATTTTATATTAAAAGAAATGAAAACAAGTCAGGCGTGGTGGTGCACACTTTTAATCCCAGCACTCAGAAGGCAGAGGCAGGCAGATCTTTGTGAGAGCGAGGCCAGCCTCATCTCCATAGCAAGTTCCAGGCCAGCTGGGGATACAGGGAGACCCTATATCAAGAAGAAAAAGAAAGAAGGAAAGAAAGAGAGAGGGAGGGAGGGAGGGAGGGAGGGAGGGAGGGAAAGAAAGGAGAAAGGAAACAGAAAGCATCACTTTTATATAAAATATCTCATTTTTAGTTTTCTCCAGTACTTGATATCTTGTAAATAAACACATTTTCTCTTGTTCTCCAGGAGACTTATTTGAAAATTACTGCAGAAGTGATGACCTGGTGACCTTTGGAAGGTTTTGTTATGGCATCACTGTTATTTTGACATACCCAATTGAATGCTTTGTGACCAGAGAGGTGAGCATAGTCCCTTTCCAGCACTTTCCCTGGGTAATTTCTCTACTACATTTAATTTATGAAGACATAGATACTCAACAAGTAAATTCCCAAGCACGAGGCAGGTGACAGCTTTATAAAAATTTTTCTTTGAACTATAAAATATAAAAATCTAAAGATTAATATATATTCAAATATTTATAAAAAGATTTGTTTTCAAAAGTTGGACCTGTAAAGTATACTTGGGGGTTGAGTTTATATTATCATAACACACATATAACCACTTCATTACAAAGGGAAAGGCAGCCTTTAGAACAGTCAAACTAAGGTGGTTGCCTTCTTTAGAAAGCAGTCTCATAAAGACTTTAGATGAAGGCTTAAAAAATATTTTCCAGAATTTTGCCGTTTTGTATGTCAGTATTTATCATAGGCCAGGTTCTAGTTGGTTTTATTGTTTTTCAAAATTATGTAACATATATTCTATGAAGAATTAAAGTTCAACTTAAAACTATTGTTTTACAGATGTACTTAAATTTATATGTAATAGAAACATTTTAAATAAAATTTTACATATGTGGGCTGGAAAGATGGCTCAGCAGTTAAGAGCACTGACTGGTTTTACAGAGGATCCAGATTTGAATCCCAGCACCCACCTGACAGCTAACAACCAACAACTCCAGTTCCAGGGTATCCAACTCCCTCTTCTGACCTCCATGGGCATTGCACGACATTGGTGCACATGAGTGCAGGCAATACACTCATACACATAAAATAAGAATAATAAAGTATTTTTAAATTTACATATGTAAAAATAAAAACAGTAACGTAAATATGCAATATAGCATATACGTATACATATATATATATATATTTCATTTATAAAGTCGCCTTCAAAGTATGTTATACCATCCACCAGAATTTGTGGAGAAAGATGAGCTGAAAGAGAGTTGATTCTGCAAAACTGGGTGATGTGGCTTGTCGGGAACCTCTTACACTGTCAGCCACACATCCTCTGGCATTAGCAGTAACCCATGACCTTGCTTCACAGAGCTTCTTTCAGGAATCACCCTGAAGGGGGCTTAGTCAGGATCCATTCCTAGAAGCTGTTTACACAGCACACCTTGTGAATGGGGCTAATGTATGAGGTGAACCCTCAACAGAGCCCTAAATATCCTATCTAATCCACAGACTTCGTAAGGCAGCAGGCTTCTCCCCATAGGCCAGTTCTGGGCATGAGGACCAGCGCAGGGACAGGAAAGGGGATACTGGGCACTGAGTGAGCTCTTTCTAGTCAGCATTCTCACTCACAAATGCATAACTCACAATCCAGTCCTCTACTTTCACAGAAGGGAGAAAGAGTAAACTAAGGGTTACTATCTGCAGGTTTTTTAAATTCAACATTGTTCCAACACTTTGCTAACTATCGTTAGGTGAAGGAAATGCTGTTCTTTCAGTGTCTGCCCAGCATCTTAGGTTCAGATCGGATCTCTAGATTGGCAAGAGCAGATGCTGTGCGCTCACATGGCTTCTGGTCAGCTGCATGCGAATAGTCTCAGTCACTTCACTTGCAGCATCTGCCTTTAGTACTCGGAAATGACTTTCTGTTCTAGCTACCATGACAAGAAGGCAGAACTAACTCAGCATATTCTCCCTGACAGCAAATACCATGCAGACGAATGCTGTACCTCACCATTTGCTTCTTCTTTACACACACACACACACACACACACACACACACACACACACACACACACGTGTGAGAACCAACATAAAAACATCATCATTTCATGGGTAAAATAGCCTGGCATGGGTCAGGAGGGATGGCTCAGCAGTTAGAAGCACTGGTTGCTCTTTCAGAGGACCCAGGTTTTGTTCCCAGCACCCATACGGTGCTAACAACCATCTGTATCTCCAGTTCCAGGGGATTCAACACCCTTTTCTGGCCTCTTTAGGCATCACACACATGGGTACACTCACATACATGCAGGCAAGCCATTAATATATATAAAAACTTAAAAATAGCCAGGTACATATAAAGGGGGTAAAAGAGTGTACCCCTAATAAATATCCCTTGCTAGCCTGCCTCAGTAAGTCACTATTTCACTCTCACAACCCCATCTTACAGGTGCATGTAATAGTGGCTTTTAAATGAGATAAATTTGGGAAAACATCAAATTCAGTTCATCTAAAGTCATTAGTGTCATCATTAGATCTTTATCAGTGTTGGAGTGACTAATCTGTGTGGAATGTCTCCTGTCTAGGTAACTATGTGAGGTAACTCTGTCAGCTTCTTCAGAGCTCCCGACATCTGACCCTTTCCACTGGCTTTTTGCACAGTCACTGCTCTGTTGAGATTCTTCTCATCCTCCATAAATAATGTTCCCATTCCTTCCCCTTTGCTCTTCTTTACACTGTGCCCTCAGCTTGCAATTCTGTTCTAAATCTTATACCCACCTCAAGCTCACATAGGTCAGTCACATTCCCAGAATGCCATAAGGAGGCTGCTTCAAGGGAGATAGGTCTAGATGCCCGAAGCTCCCTCTAAATTCTACTTGATCCTTTTTATCCTGCCATAACAGGATCTCTATTTGTTCCTTTACATTGGTTGTACATCTTCAGTCAAGATATCAAATCTGAACAGAAATCACCTCCTAGACATCCTCTTTTTGTAAAGTTATCACTGAGTAGGATGCATTGAATAAGTGACTGTAGATTAGCTTCCCGATCTGTGTATTCATAGAAAATAGTGATGAACGCTTCTCAATTTCCCTTTCCTCTTTGTGAATGAAAGGCAAATTAAGGAATTCATTCATATTGAATTGATTATCCCTTAGTAAAGGATATTACTTTACTACTCAAGAAGGATAAGGAAACTTTCTGGGAGAGTTCTTTTTTAAATTTTTTTTATTATTTTTATTTTATGTGTATGCATGTATTGCCTGCATGTAGGTAAGTGTACCCATGTCATGCAGTGCCTGCGGAGGACAGAAGAGGCCATCGGATCCCCTGGAACTGGAGTTACAGACAGTTGTTAGCTGCCATATGGGTGTTGAGATTCAAACCCCAGTCTTCTGCAAGAATAGTCAGTGTTCTTAACCACTGAGCCATCTCTCCAGCTCCCTAAGAGAGTTCTTATACCTAAAATATGTATGTGTTATGACCCTGGCATGCCACGCTCTGGGTCTGTGATATAAATCACCGACTGATAAAGAATACTTATTATTGCTGTGTATTGTGTATGTGTAAGTTCTTTGGAAAGAGGAAAACATCCATAATAGCTTAAGATTTGATTAACTGTCTCACTTATGGTGTTTCATACAGTCCTAAGTGTTATGACAGACTCTGTCAGTGACTCCTACACATCTCAAGAGTACTTCTCAATCTGATTTTTATTTGGCAGGTAATTGCCAATGTGTTTTTTGGTGGGACTCTTTCATCAGTGTTCCACATCACTCTAACAGTGATCATCATTACTGCGGCCACACTGGTGTCATTGTTGACTGATTGCCTTGGCATCGTTTTAGAACTCAATGTAAGTACATGGAAATATTCACTCTTTCCAGTCTGAAACGCTCTTTAAAAACAGTATTTCCAGCTGGGTGTGGTGGTATGCTCCTTTAATTCTAGCACTCGGGAGGCAGAGGCAGGTGGATCTCTGTGAGATTGAGGCAGCCTAGTTTACATAGTAAGTTCCAAGACAGCTGGAGCTACAAGGAGACGTTGTCTCAAAAAATCAAGCAAACAACAACAATAATAACAGTAATGCTTCCATTTAATACAAAATGTATTTTCCTTTTAAAAACAATGTCATTTTCTGAAGTACAATGAAAATCTGTTTGCAATACAGTAGTAGTAAATATTTATAATGATGGTATTCCGCTCTTCAGGGGTATACAAGTTAACAGCAGTGCTTCTCAAATGGGATAAATTTGTTCTTCTTCCCCATGGGAGCTTCTGCAGTGTCCATAGATGTCTTTGGTTGCTTAACAGGGTGGAAAGTTCTCTGGGCATCTAGGGAGAAGAAGGCAGAGATATTGCCAACAGCCCGTAATGTACAGGACAGCCCTTCACAACAAAAAATTATCTGACCAGGCACGGTGGCACATATCCTAATCCCAACACTTGGGAGACAGAGGCAAGTTGAGCTCTATGAGTTCCAGGCCAACTGGTCTACACAGTAAGTTCCAGGCCAGCCAGGGCTACACAGTGAGACCATGTCTCAAAAAGAAAACATTGTCTGATTCAAAGTGTCAAGGGTACCATGGCCACAAGTCTCATTATTGTGCTGCACAAATATTTCTAAAGCTAACTACAAATTGGTTACATGAGAAATTAAAATATGCCTAATGGACTTGTTGCTAATATAGAAGGAGTGGAATTCTTTCCAAATTGCATAACCACTTTGTATGACTCAGTTTCTTTTCCTGTATATTTTCTCTAGACTGTCCTTTGATAGTCTCCATTAACGCCACTCAGGTCTAGGCCTTCATTATGCCATATCTGAATTAGTCCTTTTCTCTTCTACCACAGCAAGTGGAAGTACTGTTGTCCCATAATCTGGCCCCTTGTCTTTATGGGACCTTACTTCCAATGGACTTCCCATACGTAGCTCTAGTCAGACTTACTTTTGTCCTGTGGATTTGGCATATCAATCCTTTCTCTTCTCCTTGACTGTTGTCTAGTGCAACTTCTAACTCATTTTCTCATTGATCATATAGTTATTAAGTAGTTACTATAACACACACACACACACACACACACACACACACACACACAAGAAATACAATGATGGAAGGAAATCAGGAATCTAAACTTCCTCACCAACACACAGAAAAATTAACACAATTTGGTGACACAATTTGGAAGATAGAAGGATAGAGGGACATATTAAGGATGACTTCATTCTATTCATAGAGCAGAGCAGGATAATGGTGTCATTTGATGAGACAGCAATGAGATGAAAACTTCTCCTGCAAGGTCATTAGTCTCCTCTTCTACAATTCCTACAGCATTTCGAGTCAGAACCACGCCGTTTAACATTCCTTGGTCATGTGCCACAGGAATGGCACTTATGCAGGTGAGATCCCAGCTCATGATGCGCTCATTGCTGTGATAATTGAGAGATGGGTGAAGGCCTGTTGTTCCTGCATGTCACTATGCTGTCCAGATGCCAATCTGAAGTTCCAGACAAAGGCAGTGGGAACCTCACTTGAGGAGCACACGATTTGGACTTTTCTTGTATCAGAGGAACTAAATAAAAAGAGCAGAGTATCCCATTTCCCAAAATTGAGGACAGCACTGAATTCTCTATTACATCAACAGCAGGATACAGGCTTCACTTGATGTGGAGATATACCCTTGTAGTCTCACCTACTAAACCACCCAAGAGACTGAGCAAGGGAATCACTTGAATCCAATCTGAGCAGTATAGCAAGACTTCATCTCTTAAAAGAAAGAAAGGAAGAAAGAAAAGAGTGAGGGAGGAAGGAAAGAAAAGAGGAAAACGAAAAGCTGAACTCTAAAAGGTCCTCTCACAATCATGTAGTAATCTTGATTTCTGTGAAAGGAACTCTATTCCTTTAATGAAACAACTTTTATATTAGCTCTTGTAATGTGCTATTTGAACTCTCCATGAATTTTCCTTCTCTACCAAAATGTAAGCTCTCTGAAGACAAGAATATTTAACTACCTTCTTCATAGTTCACCACACTAGGCACTGTGCTAAGGACACTGGGCTCAAATCACCACATTGCTCCTATAGTTCAAGGCCTGTTTCTATAAATACAGACATAAGAGCATTTATGTATTAAATTAAGTATTAGGTTAAAAAAGATCAGTGTTGTCAGTAAATAGCCTTGCAAGTATGTCATGGGACGACCATAATAATGACCCATCTTAGTTACTTTTCTGTTGCTGTGATAAAATACCCTGACAAAAGCAACTTAAGGAAAAATGAGGTTATTTTGACTCACTGTTCCAGAGGTGATACAGTCCATGCTTGGGCAGGAGTATGAGGCCAGCCTAGCATTCAGGAAAGAGACTAACCACATTTTGTAAGCATACTGATCACGTTTCAACTACACACAAGAAGCAGAGAGAAAGAACAGGAAGTGAGTCCAATCTATAAAACCTCAAAGACCAGCCAGTGAAGTATTTCTCCTGAGAAGCTCTACCTACTTCTTGAAGAGTCTGTAACCTTCCCAAACAGCTCTATCAATTGTTCAAATCCAGGAGCCTATGGGAGACAGTTTTCATTCTAGCCGCACCACCATCCTGCCTTTCACTTGATTTGTGAAATGCCACATTTGAGCTCACAAGTTCATTAAGTTATTTGATTTTTTTTTATCTTTAAAATTTTGGTTATTCAGTATGGGGTGGGGTCGGCACCGTGTGCCACGGTACATGTGTAAGGGTAACTGAAAAACTTTTTGGGAGTTGGTTCTCTCCTTCCACCATGGATTCTGGGAATCAAACTCAGGGTGTCAAGTTTGTGCTGCCTTTTACCAGCTAAACCATCTTGCCAGCCTAATTGTTTTTCTTTTTGTCTTTTTGAGACAGGTTCTCCCTGTAGCCCCAACTGGCCTGGAACTCTCTATGTAGACCAGGCTGGCCTCGAACTCACAAAGAATTGCCTGCCTCTGCGTCCCAAGTGCTGGGTCTAAAGGCGTGTGTTTTTTCTTTTTTTTTTTAATGCAGGATTTTTGGAGTTTGCTTGTTCGTTTGTTTCTTTGTTTGTTTGTTTGAAATAGGGTCTTGGTATATAGCTCAGGTTAGTTTCGAAACTGTGGTCCTCCGGCCTCAGTCTCCCAAATACTGAAGTTACAGGTGTGTGACACTATATCCAGCAATGTCTTTTTGAGACAGGGTTTCCCTGTAGCCACAGCTGGTCTGGAACTCACAATATAGATCAGGAGGGCCTTGTCACTGTCACAGAGATCTGCCTGCCTCTGCCACTGGTATGCTGGGACTAAATGAGTGTACCACCACACCCAGCTTTGTGACAGTAATTTTAAAGCATTTTGTAAGAATTAATAAAAATCTAGATTCTCTATTCTTCATTGACCCCCAAAGAATCATGTGTTTTTTCCCCGAAGTATAGGTCTTCTGGCATGTACCATTGCATATCCAAGTCTTTACCCAGCTGCCTTTGGTGTAGGCATTTACCATGTCACATAGAGCCAAATTGCACGTCATTTTTGTCAGTAACTAATGCCTACTGGAACATGCAACCTTATTCAAAGTAACTAGAGCCTGCTGTCTACTTCACAGTGGTAATGTGGTAATATGAGCTAGTACTCACTTGTGCTGTGCATACATTTTCTTCCTTAAATCATATCAACTTTACATATAAAGAAACTGAGATGCAGTGATTAACTAAATAATCTGAGGTCATAGTGGCTCTAAGTGAAGGAATGGAGATATGTACACAGGTACTTGGAGCCTAGAGCCCCTATTTTCAATCACTGTATGAGTCTGAGACTGCCTAGGTATGAGTTCTTAAATTGTGTAAAATAATTCTGCTCTTGTATCCATTTCTTTTAATTAAAAATATACACTCCAGACATGGTGGCACATACTTATACTTCTAGCATTTGGAAAATGGAATTAGTGTTCAACACTAGCCTGAGCCACATAGCCAGGCCTTGTCTCGAGAACCAAGGGCTGGGGCTGGAAAGATGGTTCAGAAATTAAGAGCACTGACTGCTCTTGCAGAGGACCCAAGTTCAATTCTCAGCACCCACATAGCAGCTAAAAACCATCTGAAACTCTAGTTTGAGGGAATCTGAGGCCCTCTTCTGACCTCTATGGGCATTGCAGGACATGGGTGCACTTACATACTTGCAGGCAAAACACTCATACACATAAAATAAAAATAAGTAAGTAAATAATTTTTTTAAAAGGAACCAAGAACTTGATCTGGTGAGATGACTCAGTGGGTGAGAGCACTTGCTGTGCAACCATGAGTGCCTGAGTTCAGATCTCCAGCATCCATGTGAAAGCCAGGCTTGGCTGCACATGCCTATAACCTCAGCATTGATGAGTGGTGATAGGCAGATCTCAGGAGCTAACTGGCCAGTTGGCCTCACTGAAACGGGAAGTGCACCATTCAGCGAGAGACACTGTCTCCAGGGAATAAGGCACAAGATGATAGAACTAGACACCTAACATCTTCCTCTGGCACAGGTACACATAGCAGCAAACACATGCATACACCAAACACTTGCATACTCATGTGTATGCATGTGCACACACACACACACACACACACACACACACACACACTCAAAGAACCAAGGGATGGGAATATAGCTCAGTGATGGACTTCTTGTCTAACATATGAAGACCCTGGGTCCTCTCTTTAGCAGTGCAAAATAATATGTGTATGTGTGTACATATATATGAATTAAGGATTTTTGTTTTGTTTTATTTTGGTTTGGTTTTTTTTTTTTGGTCTTTTTGAGACAAGGTCTCAGTGTAGCCCCAGCTGGCCTGGATTCGCTATGGAGACCAGGCTGGCTTCATACTCACAGA